GGGTGTCAAGGCGCCGGTCAACCGGAGCTCTGAGGATCTCGACCCTCCAGCCATCTTCCACATCGCTAACAACTACGACATGATCCGCTACTTCACCAGAACGATCCTACAGTTCCAGGTACGTCAGTACATTACACTGGCATCATTCTCACATATAAAAATAAACGTATCACAACTGGTCTGTCCAGCTTCATATTCTGATTGACGTTTGACAATGTACTTCCTACAGCACCTTAATAATCGTAATACAGCATGAATGTTTTTATGTTTAATACAGCAAAATATGTTAAATGGGTAACTAATAGGGGGAAATGTGGGCTGGATAACTATGTTCATATGATCTGAAGTTACTGTTTGCTGGAGGGACGTATGAAATAGGAACCGAAGTAATGATGAACCAGAGTGACATAGGATATTGTAGTAAAAATTGGAGTTTGTGGCAGCGTTCCTGGCTCACTGCACTCACTAACGAAGGAGAGACTTCTAGCTCTCTTTTTATCCTGCTACCTGAGTTTGGCACTGGGACTGGGATGCTACCCAGTACAAGATATATTACTGGGAGTCATTCATTATGTTTTATGCACGCCATTGTGTTCTCTGCATTATTTGTATAAAATGTATCTTAAAATGCTCCTTTTTTCACACTGAACCACAACTGTGGCATGACCTTTGACCTGTGGTCCATCACAGTTTCTTGAGAAGCTGTGTGAAGCGGCGGGTCACGAGGGATTCCTACACACCTGTGACTTCTACGGTTCCAAGAAAGCTGGGGATCTTCTAGGGTAAGTAACCCTCTTAAACATGTGGCATTGGTGAGTTAAACCCTCTTACGTACACTGGTGGTTTAAACGCTCTTACATATATTAGTATTTCAAAAACTCTTAAATACTTAAACTGACGTTTAGAACACTTATGTACGCATGTAAGTGTTTGAAACACTTACAAACGTGTTTCAAACACTTACGGGAACTGAGTTTCCGCCACTTTCCCTTCTGAACTACAATTGGTACATAATAAATTCAATTTTACCCACTGACAGTGAGAAGCTGTTGTAGATTGTGTGATTCAAACGGCAAACTGTTGGAATACCACTTGTGCACAGTTCGGGATATTTATTAGAGGGAACGTTGCGCCACGAGTGACTTTATAATTGGGACTGATGAAGCCACTCGTGGCGAAGCGTTCCCTTTAATAAATGTACTGAACTATACACACACTCCTTTTCCACAGTAAGATGCTGTCTCTGGGATCATCTGTGCCGTGGCAGGATGCTCTGGAGATGATGACAGGAGAGAGACACATGAACCCCCGGGCTCTTCTACGCTACTTCCAGCCCCTGCATCAGTGGTTGACGGTTGATAACCTTCTACACAAGGACGGGGTGGGCTGGGCCCAGTCCTGGACCCTCATCAACAGTAAGGATTCACTAGTTAACGCTGGCGACACTCTTAGGGATGGCGTTTAAGTTTCGTTACCTAAATGATTAACTATGAAATGATACGCAGCATGTCGTAAGCTTGACAAGTTATGTTCGTAGAGGAGACGACCAGTCTCACATGTGCGAATCTAGATATGACTTAGTACAATATACCGTATTTTCCAGCATATAAGACGCATCAGCATATAAGACTTTGTTCCCAAGGAGTTGTAACGTAACGTTAGAAAACATCTGTTAAAGCGTAGCCTAAAACCAACCTTTGACCCTAACCTTGAGCATATAAGGCTCAGGCTGATTTTCCAACACTGGGGAAAAAAGTGCTGTGATGCCTTTAACATGCCCCTGGGAACAACTGCATGCATGCTAGTATCAGATAATTTGTTTCCTGTGATTGTGGTTATTTCCAGTATGTCTTATACGCCTCCATTTAATTTCCAGTATGTCTTATACGCTCCATTTAATTTCCAGTATGTCTTATACGCCCCATTTAATTTCCAGTATGTCTTATACGCCTCCATTTAATTTCCAGTATGTCTTTACGCCTCCATTTAATTTCCAGTATGTCTTATTACGCCTCATTTAATTTCCAGTATGTCTTATACGCCTCCATTTAATTTCCAGTATGTCTTATACGCCTCCATTTAATTTCCAGTAGGTCTTATACGCCTCCATTTAATTTCCAGTATGTCTTATACGCCTCCATTTAGTTTCCAGTAGGTCTTATACGCCTCCATTTAATTTCCAGTATGTCTTATACGCCTCCATTTAATTTCCAGTATGTCTTATACGCCTCCATTTAATTTCAGTAGGTCTATACGCCTCCATTTAATTTCCAGTATGTCTTATACGCCTCCATTTAGTTCCAGTATGTCTTATACGCCTCCATTTAATTTCCAGTATGTCTTATACGCCTCCATTTAATTTCCAGTATGTCTTATCGCCTCCATTTAATTTCCAGTATGTCTTATACGCCTCCATTTAATTTCCAGTATGTCTTATACGCCTCCATTTAATTTTCAGTATGTCTTATACGCCTCCATTTAATTTCCAGTATGTCTTATACGCCTCCATTTAATTCATGGGTTTTTGTTTGCAAATTGTATGTGTTATATTTTTTGTAATATGTATATATTCATTTATATACATTTTTTTCAGATACAGCTAACGTACAGTCTGACCCATCAGTGAAGCATGAGTCAAGTCACGGTTCAGGTCATGGTTCAGGCCAAGCACTTGGCCAGGGGTCCAATGATGGCTCTTATGTTTGTGTTATGGTAGCCTTATGTCTCTCCACTGCTAGATGGTGGTAAGAGTAGTACTGTTGCCAGATGGTGGCAGGAGTGGCAAAAGTGCCGGAGGATGCTTGGGATAACAGTGTCATAGGGTGCTAGGGATGACAGCAGTGCCAGAGGGTGCTAGGGATGACAATGCCAGATGGTGCTAGGGACAACAACAGTCCCAAAGGGTGCTAGGGATGACAGCAGTGCCAAAGAGTGCTAGGGATGACAGTGCCAGAGGGTGCAAGAGATGACAACAGTGCCAGAGGGTGCTAGGGATGACAACAGTGCCAGAGGGTGCTGGGGATGACAGCAATGCCAGAGGGTGCTGGGGACGACAGTGCAAGAGGGTGCTAGGGATTACAACAGTGCCAGAGGGTGTTAGGGATGACAGCAGTGTCAGAGGGTGCTGGGGATGGCAGCAGTGCCAGAGGGTGCTAGGGACGACAGTGCAAGAGGGTGCTAGGGATGACAACAGTGCCAGAGGGTGCTAGGGACGACAGTGCAAGAGGGTGCTAGGGATGACAACAGTGCCAGAGGGTGCTAGGGATGACAACAGTGCCAGAGGATGCTAGGGATGACAACAGTGCCAGAGGGTGCTAGGGATGACAACAGTGCCAGAGGGTGCTAGGGATGACAACAGTGCCAGAGGGTGCTAGGGACGAGAGCCAGAGGGTGCTAGGGATGACAAAAGTGCCAGAGGGTGCTAGGGATGACAAAAGTGCTAGAGGGTGCTACGGATGACAACAGTGCCAGAGGGTGGTAGGGATGACAAAAGTGCCAGAGGGTACTAGGGATGACAAAAGTGCCAGAGGGTGCTAGGGACGACAGTGCCAGAGGGTGCTACGGATGACAATAGTGCCAGAGGGTGCTAGGGATGACAAAAGTGCCAGAGGGTGCTAGGGATAACAACAGTGCCAGATTTTCTTGTTGGACTATATATATATTCTTTCTATTTTTATGTTTCATATTTCCTTTGACAAACATCACTGGAAGTGTTGATACGAGGACCTGCAGTTTCCCTTCCCCTTCCTTGTTTTTTTTTCAACAAGTCGGCCGTCTCCCACCGAGGCAGGGTGACCCAAAAAAGAAAGAAAATCCCCAAAAAGAAAATACTTTCATCATCATTCAACACTTTCACCACACTCACACATTATCACTGCTTTTGCAGAGGTGCTCAGAATACAACAGTTTAGAAACATATACGTATAAAGATACACAACATATCCCTCCAAACTGCTAATATCCCTTGTATCAAGCCTAATTTACCCCCACCCACTTCCCCAAGTACGGGTTTAGCACTCCCCTTCCCCCAACAATGTCAAGATAATTGTCATTTGGCCCCAACTAGTTCATATCTACTCTGTGTAAATAAATTTCTGAAATGATTGTTGGTTACGCACTTTGTGTAGTACTAAAAAAATAATTGAAGAATTTCTAAACACCTGTCTTTTTTTGAGGAGGGGGGGACTTATCTTGTTTTATTTTGTAGTTGGGAAAATAACACAGAGTGCGAACACCAGGTTATTACAGTGCGAGCATCTCGGTCCTGGACCTCGGGTGCTGTGAGGAAGGATAACACTTGCACAGTTGCATCTCGGTCCTAGACCTCGGGTGCTGCGAGGAAGGATAACACTTGCACAGTTGCATCTCGGTCCTGGACCTCGGATGCTGTGAGGAAGGATATCACTTGCACAGTTGCATCTCGGTCCTGGACCTCGGGTGCGTGAGGAAGAAACACTGCACAGTTTGCATCTCTGTCCTGGACCCGGATGCTGTGAGGAAGGATAACACTTGCACAGTTGCATCTCGGTCCTGGACCTCGGGTGCTGCGAGGAAGGATAACACTTGCACAGTTGCATCTCTGTCCTGGACCTCGGATGCTGTGAGGAAGGATAACACTTGCACAGTTGCATCTCTGTCCTAGACCTCGGGTGCTGTGAGGAAGGATAACACTTTGCACAGTTGCATCTCTGTCCTGGACCCTCGGATGCTGTGAGAAGGATAAACACTTCCCACAGTTGCATCTCTGTCCTAAAACCTCGTGCTGCGAGGAAGGAAAACCCACTGCACAGTTGCATCTCGGTCCTGGCCTCGGATGCTGCGAGAAGGATAACACTTGCACATTTTGCATCTCGGTCCTAGCCCTCGGATGCTGCGAGGAAGGATAACACTTGCACAGTTGCATCTCTGTCCTAGACCTCGGATGCTGCGAGGAAGGATAACACTTGCACAGTTGCATCTCTGTCCTGGACCTCGGATGCTGTGAGGAAGGATAACACTTGCACAGTTGCATCTCTGTCCTAGACCTCGGATGCTGCGAGGAAGGATAACACGTGTACAGTTGCATCTCGGTCCTGGACCTCGGGTGCTGTGAGGAAGGATAACACTTGCACAGTTGCATCTCGGTCCTGACCCCGGGTGCTGTGAGGAAGGATAACACTTGCACAGTTGCATCTCGGTCCTGGACCTCGGGTGCTGTGAGGAAGGATAACACTTGCACAGTTGCATCTCGGTCCTAGACCTCGGGTGCTGTGAGGAAGGATAACACTTGCACATTTTGCATCTCGGTCCTGGACCTCGGGTGCTGTGAGGAAGGATAACACTTGCACAGTTGCATCTCGGTCCTGGACCTCGGGTGCTGTGAGGAAGGATAACACTTGCAAAAGTTGCATCTTGGCCGGACCTCGGATGCTGTGAGAAGGGATAACACTTACACATTTTCCCATCTCGGTCCGGGAAACCTCGGGTGCGTGGGGAAAAGGATAACACTTGCACAGTTGCATCTTGGTCCTGAACCTCGGGTGCTGTGAGGAAGGATAACACTTGCACAGTTGCATCTCGGTCCTGGACCTCGGGTGCTGTGAGGAAGGATAACACTTGCACAGTTGCATCTCGGTCCTGAATCTCGGGTGCTGTGAGGAAGGATAACACTTGCACAGTTGCATCTCGGTCCTAGACCTCGGGTGCTGTGAGGAAGGATAACACTTGCACAGTTGCATCTCGGTCCTGGACCTCGGGTGCTGTGAGGAAGGATAACACTTGCACAGTTGCATCTCGGTCCTAGACCTCGGGTGCTGTGAGGAAGGATAACACATGCACAGTTGCATCTCGGTCCTGGACCTCGGTGCTGGGGAGGAAGGATAACACTTGCACAGTTGCATCTCGGTCCTAACCTCGGGTGCTGTGAGGAAGGAAAACACTTGCACAGTTCATCTCGGTCCTAGACCTCGGGTGCTGTGGGGAAAGGGAAATAACACTTGCACAGTTGGCATCCCCGGTCCTAGACCTCGGGTGCTGTGAGGAAGGATAACACTTGCACAGTTGCATCTCGGTCCTAGACCTCGGGTGCTGTGAGGAAGGATAACACTTGCACAGTTGCATCTCGGTCCTAGACCTCGGGTGCTGTGAGGAAGGATAACACTTGCACAGTTGCATCTCGGTCCTAGACCTCGGGTGCTGTGGGGAAGATAACACTTGCACAGTTGCATCTCGGTCCTGGACCTCGGTGCTTTTGAGGAAGGATAACATTGCACAGTTGCATCTCGGTCCTGAACCTCGGGTGCTGTGAGGAAGGATAACACTTGCACAGTTGCATCTTGGTCCTGGACCTCGGATGCTGTGAGGAAGGATAACACTTGCACAGTTGCAGTGACCGAGGCTTTGCAACTTTTTCAAGAAAGTGTCTCTAAAGTACACTTGGGTAGGATAAGAATGGAGGAACACTGCAGCAGGCCTACTGACCCATACAAGGCAGGTCCTTATCAATACCTCTCAGGTCTCACAACTTTTTCATTACAATATCTCTTGCTGTTTTTATTTTGCATTTTTTTTCAGACTAATCGTGGTTATACTGTCTTTATTACTGTCTTTTATTCTCCTTATTTCTCAGTATTTTTATTTACAATTGTGTTGCCATAAACAGAGATAAAACAGAAATTTGTATCTGTTTATTTGTATATTTGTACTTTACATTGTCCGCTTAATGTAACTATATAATATTTTTAGAACAGTATAATTACTTTTATTATAAGTTACATTATTTAGTGTTTATATGACTAATATAAACTGGTTTATCCTGCGTGTATTTCTTTCCAACCTCATCCACGTTATAATTTATAATTTTCTATGTAAATTATCTCTCAACTTTTTTCCGGTGTTTGTATTTTTAGTACCTGCGTCACTGTTACCACACTTACGTCATTGTTTCCATATCTGCGTCATTGTTTACCACATTTGGGTTTTTATTATGGCACCTGAGTTTTTTTTTAAAATTTTCATCATTTTTACAACACTGGGTGGAATAGGGAAAGAAATTGTTTTTGACATTTATAGTGAACTTTTTTAAAAAAAAAATACCAACCCTCCAACACTATATCCCCCCCGCTTTAACATTTTGTCTGTTTTCCCCGTCAGTTCAGCTGCTTTACCCCCTTCATTCTAAAATGCGGGGGGGGAAAACAGCTGGAATGACGGCTCATGATAAAAATGTTAAAAGCGGGGGGGGTGGGGGATATAGTGTTGGAGGGGTTTGGGTTTTTTTGTTTAAAAAATGATGAAAGGGGAAGGTCCTAGGATTGGCGGAGAGCTGATAGTCCCTTAATATAAAGGGAAGGGACAAAAGAGATTGTAAAAATTATAGAGGAATAAGTTTACTGTGGTAGTAGGTTGGTGACAGCAACCACCCAGGGGGTACCCCTTTGCCAAGTGGTGTAAAAACAAACCCTGTAATTGTTTTACATGTTAGGATTGTGGTTCTTTTGTCTGCTCATAAATATGCAAGATTACAGGCATGTCTTGCTACTTCTACTTACACTTAGGTCACACTACACATACATGTACACGTTTTTTTATACACACTCACTACTTTTCTTTGATTTATCTTAATTTTCTTGGTCTTATTATTTTTTCCTTTTAATCCATGGGAAGTGAATAAAAATCTTTCCCCGTAAGCCATGCGGTTGAAAAAAGTAAAATAAAACCGGGGGAAAAAGGGGCTAGTAATCCCTTTTTCCTGTAAAGATTACAAAAAAGAATTTAAGAAGAAAATTGTCAAAGGGGGGAATTAAATGTGCTGGATGTTTTGCAGATGATAAGAAAGAGATGATTGTGGATTTTATAAATGAGAAGAAACTGGTTTCCCCTGGCTTTAAGTGAAACAAAGCTGAAGGGGGGGGGAGAGTTTTCAATGGGGGAGGGAAAAAATGGGATTAGGTCAGGGGTTTCAAAAAAGTTAGAGCTGAAAAGGAGTAAAAAATAAGTTTTTAAAGGGTAACTATGGCAGGAAAGAGGGACACAAAAGTATTAATTCAGGATTATTGAGTAAAAATAAAAATTGGATGTGAAAAAATGGGGGTTTTAGTAAGGGGTATGCACCTGGAGAAGAGAGAAGTGAGAGGGAGAGGAGATTTTGGGGAAATGTTTTATGAATGCGTGGGGAGTTTTTAATCAAGTGTGAGATAATGGTGGTTGGGGGGTTTTTAAAGCTAAAATGGGAAAAATGTTATGGGGGGAGTAGTAGGGAAATTTGGGGTGCCGGGGGGAAATGAAATGGGGGGCCTTTTAATTGAGCTATGTGTAGAAAAATTTTGGTAATAAGAATAATATTTATGAAAAAAAAGGATAAATAAAAATACAAGGGATGATGTAGCACGTATGAAAGTAGTTTGTTAGTTATGATTGGTGGAAAAAAAGGGTTTATGGGGGTCCAGGATGTACATTTTTATAGAGGGGCAACGGGGTATATGGATCATTATTTAGTTGTACTCAGTTTGAGTAAAGGTAGATGGGAAAAAAAGGGGAAAGGGGGCAGCAACGTAAGAGGGAGGTGAAAATGTATAAAAAAAAGGGAGAAAATTCGGGGGAAAATTAAACGACTATTGGCAAAAGGTGGGGTAGTGCAAAGATGAGTATGGGGGGTTTTTAAAAGGGTTGGAATAGTTTTAAAAAAGACTATTAGAATGTGGGGCAGAAGCTTGTGGTTATAGGAGGGTGGGGGCAGGAGGAAAGAGGAGTGATTGGTGGAATGATGAAGTAAAGGGTGTGTTAAAGAGAAAAAGGTAGCTTACGAGAGGTTTTTACAAAGCAGAAGTGTTATAAGAAGAGCAGAGTATATGGAGAGTAAAACAAAGGTGAAGAGAGTGGTGAGAGAGTGCAAAAGGAGAGCAGATGATAGAGTGGGAGAGGCACTGTCAAGAAATTTTAATGAAAATAAGAAAAAATTTTGGAGTTAAACAAGTTAAGAAAGCCAAGGGAAAGTATGGATTTGTCAGTTAAAAACAGAGTAGGGGGTTAATAGATGGGGAGAGGGAGGTATTAGGTAGATGGCGAGAATATTTTGAGGAACTTTTAAATGTTGAGGAAGAAA